TTTCAGTTCTGAGTGGTGTAGGGTGTCTGTGGAAACTTCTAATAATCAGTGGATACTGAAAAGAAATGAGAGTTTTCCCGTTCCCTTTGCTAAGAAAATATATAGAGAGAGAAAGCCAAAGCAGATTTGTCTGAGAGAGGAAAAACCAAGATGGCTGCATAGGTAAACACCGGAGATTGCTGCCTCGCACAACCACTTCAAAAATACAACTAAAAGACGCAACAGACATCATCCAGAACCACAGGAAGGCTGACTGAGTGGAAATTCTACAACTAGAAGGAAAGAGAAAAGCATACGGAGACTCAGAGGAGGTGTGGTGCGGAAGTAAAATACAAAGGTGCGGAGGTGCATGCGGAGAGGGCTGGCGGCTGAGGACATGATTGTCTTCTTCAATCGGGAGGGAGTCTCAAGCTCTGAGCTCCAGTTCCAGGCGAGTCTCTGGGAACCCAGACTCATACGGGGAGAAACTGGACTGTCTGGCATCAGTCGGAACTCAAAGGCAGCTTTCTCTCGGAGGTGCTCACAGCGATTGCCGGGGTCTTTGAGGGCAGGACTGAGAGCAGCCATACTGCTCGATCCACCCGCCCTGTTGATCCCCTGGGGCCCTGCCCCGCCCAAGCCGTTCAGGGAGGCTTTTGCATATGAAAGGCCCAGCCCTTTGTAATCTGAAAATTACTTAACAAACTGCAGCTGCCCCAAGGCCCCAGGACAACTTGCATCGCTTTACAGCTGGCTTCTGCTGGGTAGTGTCAGGCAGAGGCTAAATTAGCACCTCCTTAGATCCAAGAGCCAGTGTACCCAGTGGTCAGAGTGGGACCATCCAATTACATCTCCTCAGATCCATAAGGGACACACTCAGGGGGCAGACTCTGTGAGCACCAAAGCCCCACTGAAAGCAAGTCTTGCCCCATAAGGGTGTCTTCAGCACAGAAGTTCTCCCACTATAGACACAGCTGATTCTCACAGCGAATTGGCCTGGAGGTCAATTCCTCCCAGTGATACCTACAACAATCAAGGCTTAACTACAACAAGACTGTGCACAAAGCCCAAAGGGGGTGCACCAAGAGTGTCTACCTCAGGTAATTGGGGAGGCTGAGCCACTGGGCCCTATAGGACATCTAGCACAGAAAGCCACTCTATCAACACAGGGAAGCAGCCAAAATGCGGAGACAAAGAAACAGGACACAAATGACAGAAATGGAGGAAAGCAAACTACTGGATATAGAGTTCAAAACCATGGTTATAAGGTTTTTCAAGAATTTTCTAGAAACCGCTGATAAACTTAATGAGACCCTCAAGAAATCTAGTGAGACCCTTGATGTTGTGATAAAGGACCAACTAGAAATTAAGCATACACTGACTGAAATAAAGAATATGATACAGACTCCCAACAGCAGACCAGAGGATCGCAAGAATCAAGTCAAAGAATTGAAATACGAAGAAGCAAAAAAACACCCAACCGGAAAAGCAAAATGAAAAAAGAATCCAAAAATACGAAGGTAGTGTAAGGAGTCTCTGGAACAGCTTCAAGTACCAACATCCGAATTATAGGGGTGCCAGAAAAAGAGAGAGAGCAAGATATTGAAAACCTATTTGAAGAAATAATGACAGAAAACTTCCCCTACCTGGTGAAAGAAATAGACTTACAAGTCCAGGAAGCGCAGAGAACCCCAAACAAAAGGAATCCAAAGAGGACCACACCAAGACACATCATAATTAAAATGCCAAGAGCAAAAGACAAAGAGAGAATCTTAAAAGCAGCAAGAGAAAGACAGAAAATTACCTACAAGGGAGTACCCATACGACTGTCAGCTGATTTCTCAACAGAAACTTTGCAGGCCAGAAGGGAGTGGCAAGAAATATTCAAAGTGCTGAATACCAAGAACCTACAACCAAGATTACTTTATCCAGCAAAGCTATCATTCAGAATTGAAGGTCAGATAAAGAGCTTCACAGATAAGGAAAAGCTAAAGGGGTTCATCACCACTAAACCAGTATTATATGAAATGCTGAAAGGTATCTTTTAAGAAAAGGAAGAAGAAGAAAAAGGTAAAGATACAAATTATGAACAACAAATACACATCCATCAACAAGTGAATCTAAAAATCAAGTGAATAAATAATCTGATGATCAGAATAAACTGGTGATTATAATAGAATCAGGGGCATAGAAAGGGAATAGACTGACTATTCTCGGGGTGGGGGGGGAAAGGGTGTGGAGGATGCGGGAAGAGACTGGACAAAAATTGTGCACCTATGAATGAGGACAGTGGGGGGGGGTGAGGGCGGAGGGTGGGAGGGGAACCAGGTGGAGGGGAGCTATGGGGGGAAAAAGGAGGAACAACTGTAATAATCTGAACAATAAAGATTTAATAAAAAAAAAAGAAAGAAAGCCAAAGCAGTGTTTTACTGTTTCTAATAGCAATAAATTCTGATATTAAACATTCTATGAACCACGTTCCAAATAGAAATCACAAAGGATACAAAAGTTAATTAAACATAGCTCTTGCACTCAAGGGGCTCACCGAAATCCTTTGAGGGAAGGCAGAAATGTAAGTATCTGATATATGAGATGGTAAATACTAAAATAGGAGAGAGCCTGCACAAAGACAGGAATGCCTGATTCTGTCTGGGAATTCCAGGGAAGGCTTCAGAAAGAATGTATTTCTTGTATTGAACCTTAGAGAATGAGGAAGACTTTACCATTATCACAGAGAGTTCTATTGGGTAATGCTGCTCTAGGCTGTCTGGATTGTCTATAAGGATTCATAATAAAATGAGATCAATGGATAAATAAATTTATATGTAATAGTTCTGGAAATTCACAAGGTACAGTAGCATAATAAAGATGGTGAAGAGACCTGCAGTAAAAGGGATGTGGTTCTACTTTAAGTCCAGTGTTTCCTATATTGATTTGATTACTGAAACTTCTTTTTTAAAGATTATCTCATTTATAAATTATGTGACCTAATTCTACATGTTACAGAAAAAAATGACTTACAGTTTGGGAAATACTGCTGTGGCAATTAGGATCCAGGGATGGCATTTAGGCAGGATGATGTGATCAGACCGCCTTGGCAGCATTAAGATTGAAAGCAATATGAAAAGATGGCATGCTCAAGTCCTAGTCTAAGTAGGCAGTCATGGGAAGAGAGAAGAAAAATAGACCCTGAAGCACGTTAGGAGATAGAACAGAGAGAATATGAGTAATTGGATGTGGAGGGTCAAGCCCAGTAGGTCAACTAGTTTTCCAACATGGGCTCTTGAGCTGTGGGAGCACATCTAACAAAGAATAACAGAAGGCTAACAGGAACACATGGGACATGTGGAATTTCACAAGCCTGTGGTATATCCAGAAGAAACAAATAGAAAAACATGGCCTATAACTGAGGAGAGTAGTCTAATCTAAGATAAACATTTTGGAGTCTTCAGGATATAGCTAATAGTTAAAGTTATGGGAATGAATCAATTACCTAACAAAACAGTGTCAAATGAGCGTAGAAGATGGCCAAGTTGAATCCTAGATTTAGGGGAGGGGAGCAGATAAAATAAGCAGGAGATTGAAAACAGACCTTCAAAGAGTTATCAGGAAAATCAGAATGTTGTGACCCAGAATCCAAAGGAAGAGAGAACTTTCAAAAAGATATATGGTCAATATTCTTTGAATGCCACAGAGAGGTCATGAAAAAAAAACTCACATTGAGCTCATTTGGTTTAGTAACAAAATGGTCCAGGTGGCATGAGCAAGAGTAGTGTCTGCATACCTAACATTGCCATTATCAGATAGATTGGAGTGTACACGAGACGAATGGTAGATGAGGAGGTAGGAACAGTGGGTATAAAAAGCTCTCAGAATTTGCCTGTCTGAAGAACAATAGAACAACTGCTAGAGAGGAAAACATAAAACTAGCTTTAGGAAATGGAAGGGACAATTTAAATCAATACATAGACATTTATTGAGTGTCAGCTATAGTATATCCCACATTCAAAGGTTGTTAAATCACATTGTTTACCCATATCTTCAGAAAAAAATCACTTCTACTGTCATGGTAAACAACCTGCTTCCCTATTTATAATGGTCTGGCCCTCTAGCAACTTCAGCGTGAAATTATAGCTAATTTGCCTACAAACGTCAGGTGGTCATAATAATCTGGCCACTCAGTGTATATTTAAGCACTGTGCTAGACACTGAGTCTTAGAGAGATAGTAAAAATTCTCCATCTTGCCTTCAAGAAGCGCAGCATGTACCAGGTTAAAGAAATCATAAAGGCATGATTTGATCTTAATTCATTTATGTAAATGTTGGTAAAAATAACTACCATATTTTCCATAGCGCCATGATTCATAAAGAATTAGCTCATTTACAAATTATATGACCTAATTCTACATGTTACAGAAGAAATGATTTACAGATAGCAGTTTGGGAAATACTTAGAATCTTTCAACTTCTTGATGGAAAGTGGTGTTAGAATTTAAGACACTATAATAATCTATTCAGTATCAGATATTTGTGCTGTCGGTGAACAAACACATGGTAACTGAAGACAGCTTCTTCCAGGTAGTGAGAGGGATTTGAGTAAGGCCAAACGTTTGTCATTGGGCAGGACAGAAGAGAGACAAGAGTAGGAAGAGTGGGTGCAAATTCCAAACCCAAAGAACAAGAAAAGGAGCACACATGGGAAATGAGGTCAAGAATCATGAACCCACAAATAAATGGCATGAAGTGCAAACTCACCATCTCAGGCTTGTGGGTGAGATTTATGTCAGGAACAGTCATCAAGATGGGCCCAAATGTCCCTCAAGAAACACAGATGCACCAAGACACAGACACACAGACACGACAACAAACACTGGCACACGTCAGCCAGTCAATATGTAAGTTAACCGGTGTTCCATGTACTGGTTGTTGGCGTTCTAAGAAACTTTAAAAAGAGCAATGCGTTTAATGTAGACACATTAAATATATCGGTTTAATCTACTCTTTCTTGTTTTCTTCATTAGATCCCCTCAGCAGAGTGTGTTTAAGACCAAAAAATGTAACTGATTCATTGAGCACCTACATTAATGCTAATTATATCAGGGTAAGTAAATAAATATCATTTCTTTCTGATGAGCATGTCAACTTACTATTTGGACTTTGAGGTTATATTTTTTCCTTAGAATAGGTTACTTTTAACTTAACTTGGTCAGAGCAAGTTCTTTGTTGTTGTCTGCTTAGTCATAACCAACATTGGTAGCCGGTATTTTACAGTGAGTCCTCCTTTCCTGTGCGTGCGTGGCTGGGGTGCTCTGGTGAGGACGAAGCATTTTGACGGGCAACACCGTGCACCATGCTTGGCTTGCTGGGAGAACAGCCATGTGGGTTGTGCTGCTGGGATCAATGAAGCCACAGAAATCTGTGTTGCTTTTGGACGAGCAGAGCCATTTTGTTCTGAGATATTTTACCTAAATTGTCAGTGCACGGCATGCACTTCAGAGCCAATCTTTTGTATCTTTACTCACACTAGGGCTACGGCGGCAGAGAGAAAGCGTTCATCGCCACGCAGGGCCCCATGATCAACACCGTGAATGATTTCTGGCAGATGGTTTGGCAGGAAGATAGCCCTGTGATTGTTATGATCACAAAACTCAAAGAAAAAAATGAGGTATGACCTTTACCCAAGTACTAAATGTTATATATTTTCTGTTGCTATAGAAGACATATTGTATAAGAAAAATTGTCATGTACTTAATAATGGATTTAAGATGGCCACTTTAAGACATTTAAATAATAGGTCACTTTATGCTTCCCAGATAAATCAATATATATTGGGTACACAATTCTCCTATGTATCCACATGTCTCAGTAAGGAAAAGATAGACCAGGAATTATCACCCTGATTTATAGGCAATGAAATAAAAAATTATTCATTTGTATAGCAAGTAATTTTTGCACCTACTATGTGGCAAATACTATTTTAGTTGTTGGAAATATATTAGTAAGCAAAACACACAAAGATTTATGCTCTTGGTAGATTTTAACTCTTTTGGAGTTGGCAGAGAAGACCGACAAAAACAATAAACATAATAAGTTTATTAAAATATTAGAAGGGGCTGGCCGGTGTTGCTCAGTGGATAGAGCTTCATCCTGCAGACTGAAGGGTCCCAGGTTCAATTCTGGTCAAGGGCACATGCCTGGGTTGCAGGCTCAATCCCCAGTGTGGGATGTGCAGGAGGCAGCCAATCGATTCTCTCTCATCATTGATATTTCTATCTCTCCCTCTCCCTTCCCCTCTGAAATCAATAAAAAATAAAAAAAAATATTAGAAGGGATAAATACTATAGAAAAAGGTAGTATGGGTGTGCTGGGCTGTAGGGAGGGGCTGAGAAGGAAGGATAAGCTGCAGTGTTATATAGTGGATGAGCCTCACTAAGAAAGTGAGATTTGAAGGAAGTTATAAAATCCAAGCAACTTACTCAAGATGTTTATAAAAAGAAGTCCAAAATTAGATTCTGTTTCCATACTAGTCATCTTTTCTAAGGATCTAACTTATGGACAAGAATACTCATTCTGTACTTCGCATCATAAAAATAAAATTGTGTTTCTCTCTCCTTGTCCCCCACATAGACAACAGGGTGGTGAAGACCTGAGGGTGGGGGTACGGGTTGGGCAGAGAAGGGTAAAGGGGGAGAAATGGGAGACATCTGTAATACTATCAACAATCTATAATAATAAAAGTGTAATATGCTAATTAAACCGGACATCCTTCCAGGACGAAGCCAGGGCTGCAGCCACTGCAGCTGTGAGGGAGGGATCCAGGCAGCTGCCTGTGGTTGCGAGGGAGTATCAAGGTAGCTGCAGCTGCAAAGGCCTACTCTTGCACGAATTTCATGCATCGGGCCTCTAATAATAATAATAAAGTAAAATTGTGTAATTCCCAAAAGGTGCTGGCCTAGGCACTATTTACATTTTAGGGCATTTTGTCATCCTGTTGGCATGGTTTACAGTCTGATTTTAGTCAGCTTTTGTTTTTGTTTTCTTGTCAAAATTACTACAACAGGGCTTCCCCAGGATAATAAGAATTTAAGAATACTGAATTTCCCCTTATACCCTTTGATAACTTGCAACCCTGAGTATAATATAATCCAACTGCTAATCAAGAAAGTCCAGGCTCACAACACCAATTTATAAGTTTTTTAGGCCTTTAGTGAGGTAACGGATGCCTTTTCAATTTCCGTAAGCATGGGTGACAATTATGACTTTGTGTCCTTTTTCAATCAGGCACTGAGAGAGCTGGTAAATGTGGCTTTCCACGCCTCCCATATTTGGGTAGAAAAAGTCCGACACCATGCATATGTTATGAGTAGGAGTTCTACATGTGAAAAGACGTTCAGGGCTAACAGGGTAGAACAACGCTGAGGGACCATGGCGGCGCCCACCTCCTCCTCGATAGGCCATGCTGAGACAGTTTAGGCATTAGTCCTTTACAGCAACCCCGTTAAGATGTCATTGAATACCTGGAGCTGGAGCTGTCTTTTTGAGAGCAGTTTTTTCAAGTGCCACGGGTAGCACATGCTGCAGACATCCACTTTTCTCCTCCTGTACTCAAGGATGGTGATCATCAAACTACTCGCTTCATGTCAAACTTTCTTTCAGTTACATGGGCCTTTCTGCCATGAGGGTCCGTCCCTTCAGTTTGGAGTCGGCGAGTCCTAAGTTTTTTAAAGTTTATTGTTTTTTTCCATTTTTGCTACAATAGGTGAAGGATTTTTTTTTCTGAAATTTATTTTGGAAAAAAAATATATATATGGCCAGGAGATGAAGGTATATACTTAATTAACTATATGGTTTACTAAATAAATGCATTTCTATGAATTTTATATGAAAGCCTGAGGTGGCATAATAAAAATGACCCATAACATTCTCAGCAGTTTCACCTACTCTCAATCTATCAAACATATTCAAACACTAACAATTCCTGCACGGTTGTTTAATATTCATGACATTTTGCCTTCATGATAGGAAAATATTCTTCAAAGTTAAAAGTGTATATACATCCATGGAACTTAGATAATATGGTAGACAAGATAACCTGAAAAACCTTCCATTACAAAACCAGTTATACTGGGTAAAATATGAAATAACAGGTACAGCAGAGCTTGAAAAAATAATGTGAAGGAAATCCCAGCAATTAAAAACAGAATAAAAGGCATAAAACCAGAGAATTACAGGTTACTTGTGTTTTAATGACAACACAAGAAATGGAGACCACGCCTATGGCTCACAGAAGCCAGGAGTTAGAACTAAGACTTTCCATAAAGGGAGCACCTGCAAGGGCTGGGCCTTTAGTGAAAAGGTGAACCAGAAAAATAAACCTGCCTACCAAAATAGGACTATAGCAGGAAATTAATCTATCTTAGTCCAGGCTTCTCTTGGGATAAATTAAAAGGTTCTCTTGAGTATTCAGAATTCAAAGCCAGGAAATGCCAAGTGGAGTAATTTATATAAAAAGTAATACTGGGTTGGTAAGGCTCTGTGGCACTTAACAGAAACAAAGGCAAAACCTTTTTGGATGCATACACTCTCAGCATCTAGTTCACAGGATTTCCACAGAAAAAGCCCAACCAAACAAACTCATAAGTCAACATTGTGAGACACACAAGTAAAACAATATAAGGAAAATCAGAAGAAGCAACAAGTAATAGAAATAGACCCACCAAAAAATTGAATAATAGAAGCTATACAGTATAAGCTATATTTTTGTAATTAAGCACACAAATTATAAAATAATAAACTCAAATGAAAAGAGAAAGTTACAATTTAAAAAGACTAGGGAGAATTTTAAACCAAAGAGTCCTAGACATAATTACTATATAGACACTATTATGAAAAAAGAAAAATCTCATTAAACAGTAGGCTAGACACAGCTGAACAATTACTGGATTAGAGAGCTAAGGAAATTATCTAGAAACTTGAAATGACCAAAAATATGAAAGAGAGTTTATTTTACAGAGAGGGTAATATTTAAATGGCCAACATATGTCTTATAGAGAAGAAATGGGACAATATAAAACAAGAAGTAATATTTGAAGAAATAATGGTCATGGATTTTCTAAAACTGATGAAAGACATGAGCTCTCACATTTGAAAAGCACAATAAACCCTAGGCTGGATAACTCAAAATAAATCTGCAACTGAATGGAGATGATATTAACAACCAGAGTAACTGACAAATGGCTTCTCAATAGCAACAATAGAAACCAAAAATCAGTTGAATGATACCTACAGAGGGATGAAAGCAAACAATATGGAACTTTTAGCAACATTTCCAAATCTGAGTAGAATGCATTACCCCTGCCCACTTTGTTTTGGAATATAATTTTCTCAATACTTTGTTTGCTCAAAGCACATTCATACCCTTACTAATTCTATATCCTCTTTGATTAAAAATAAAACCATATAGTATGAACATTGGAAAAAACACTGAGCATTTCAATCCTCAAATCCTATGATGTATTTGTTCACTTGCATAGAAAGGGTAAGAAATGTCTTTAGTGCTTTAACTTCTTCTTGAACCAGGATTTCTTTCATCAGGATAGAAGCAGCTAAGATTGTTGGTTACTCAGAAAGCATTCCCTAGAAGCTAACATGTGACATATTTTAAAGGTGTCTAGTAAGGATGAGACTTGGAGAATATGCCAACGCTCCAACTCTTCTCCTTTGCCCCCAAGACCAAGGTTGGCATTCTAACAGAAGGGCTGCATGAGATGAATCTGCATTTCAATGTGATGCTGAGTTGTTTCACTGGTGATGCTCAGGACTTTCCATTCTGTGTCTGGAAAGGAAGAGAACACCTCTTGTTCTTTATTTTTCAACCTTCTCACAGTTGGAGCTACCCCTCGGTACCACTCTCAGAATTCACGTTCTTCATAGGGAAAGCGAAGTGGATCTGTTGAAAGCTCGATTTTAAAAATAATAGTAATGATCACACTAAAGGCTGATTGAGGTTTTTATTTTTCTCTTTGTCTAAATTTAGAAATTGGAAAAGTATTATTTTTTTTCTTACCATTTTTAGCCTCTTCTCTTTTTATATGTCTGGGATATATCTTCTGGAAATATCGAAGTTAAATATATCATGTTTTCTATGTGTGATTTTCTATGTGGATTGCCCTCTGCCAGTCACAATCCCAAATATTGCCGCAAAAATTCTTTGTCATTGTTGGTTATTCATTAAATTAAAATAAAATTCCTTTCCATCCAGACTCTCTGAAGATGTAAATATATTACGATAGAGGAAACTCTTGATGTTTTACAGATCAAAATGATACTGAGAAGTCTGGCTCAGAAGAAAAATGCAGCAGACTTTACACTCCCAGGAAAGTGCTGTTTACCAAAAATGTGCCAACTTTCAATTGTGTTAAGCGTCATTGTTTAGAATAGACAAAAATCATTTCCTCCCAAAAAAATGAAGGTGGAGTTATCTTTAGAAATTCCCAGGCTTTATGTTTTCATGAACCTTTATACTTTTTAAATAAATAAATGAAGAATTTCCAGCTCTTATTTAATAATACCAATATTCTTATAGTTTTTTAATAAAATGAATATAAACAAAAACTTCCAAAATAAAGCTGAAAAGTCAGTTATATTTCATGAAAGAGAAGAGAT